CGGGTCGGCGTCGTAGTGGCATATCGGTAGCTCGGCAGGTCGCCTCGGTGGTCGGGGATAGCTCGGCCGCCCAGCTTCCTGGCGTTCTTTAGCTCGACGTCGTCGGCAGCTTGGTGTCCTTGGTAGCACCCCCGGCTAGCTCGGCACAAAAGGTCGTACCGCTGCACTTTGCATAAGAGCTCGCGTGATGACAAGGAAGTTTGTAAGTACACACGGTTATGCGACTGCTCTCCACGACACGAATAACTTCTCTATTTCTTAGGCCAAGCTGCGACAGCTAGTCTAGAAATGGGGGGGCTAGATGATACGACCATGTGAATGGGGCTCGTCTAAGACCGTCGAAATCCGAGTTATAGTTACAGTTTCATTCGTTTTACACAACACACATACACATATTATCTCGTTACTCTGCCGTTTTCTCTCCGAAACACTACCACTGACTTGAGCGTCGGAGAGTCCACGCCGGGACCACCCCCGGCGTGTTTTGCAGGTACCGGCGATCGAGAAGGTTTAATTCGGTTTAAGAGGAGCGGTCGAGCGGTTCAGGTATTTGTGGTATAACAATGGATATCAATGAAATTATCAGATATTAATAAAAATTATTTAAGGAAACAATATTTTTGATCATATCTGATTTGATATTATTTGAAAATGTGTATATAAGCAATTAATGTATATATTTAAAAAAAAAGTATGTATTAAATGCTTCTAAAAAATTTTACTACTATTTTTGGTAAATAATTATTCTTATTATATATATGTAGATATAGATGTAGATATAGATGTAGATATAGATATAAAATATAGATATAGATATAGATATTTATAGATATATATAATAGATATAGATATAGACTTATAGATAAATCAAAATGCTTTCTAGAAATGATCTAACCTTATTTTTATTATCTATACTTATATAAAAAGATATCCTATTTACTATAAATAGTAGATAGAAAATTCAAAGGTAATTAATGCTTGTTGTAAATAGAATGACATTAATTACATATTTGTTTTGGTATTTATAGGCTTGACATTAAACATTTGTATGGGATAAAAGTCAGAACCGATTTTTTTACCTTTGCTAGAAAAGTCAAAGGTAAGTATAGATTTATTTATATTATCAAATCATAAAAAGATATTAAATTCATATTGTAAAAAAAAATAATTCATATAATTTTATAACAATTCTACTACACTATTTAACAGTATTCCTTTTTATTATATAATAAAATAATAATTAAATATTATATGGTGAACAACATTAAGTAAAACTGTTACTTTCTCTTATATCAATGGATAAATTTATATGCTAAAATTAAATTTTTATTAGTATAAATGTTCTAGTGAGATAATATATTAATATTCTGGCTAAAAAAATAACGCTGGTTAAAAGATGTAGAAAAAAAACTTATAATAACTCTATTGTTTTTTAGACTTAACGTTGATTAAAAGATATAATAACCCTATTATTTTTTAGACTTAAATGGACAAGACTGTAAAAATAACTCATTTAATATCTCTGTCCCGTGCATCGCACGGAGTACATACTAGTGTTAACTAAATCAGAATCATTAACTCTACCACATCTATACTTATATAATAAGGAGTACCATTTACGAAATTTAGTAAGTTGAAAAGTCAATGCAATAAATGCATTACTATTTTGAGCAATATAATATCATATATATACTTATATAAAAGGAGATTCTATTTACTACATTTACTATCCAGAAAAGTCAACTGCATTAAATGTCATTACTATTTTGGTATTATAATATTTTATTTATTTAATTGATTTATTTATTTGTTTTATTTTAAAAAAGTAAGTATAATAAAAGATTTTAATAATAAAAAAATTAAATACCAAATAAAAATATACACTTTGACTTATTTGATTATATTTGGTATTTGATTATACCAAGTATATTCATATTTAGTATATACATTAAATACTTACTAAAGTATTTATTTGTTTTATTTGTCAAAGTTAAGTATAGATTTGTTTATATTATCAAATCATAAAAAAATATTAAATCCATATTGTAAAAAAAAAATCATATAATTTTATAACAATTCTACTACACTATTTAACAATATTCATTTTTTATTGTATAATAAAATAATAATTAAATATTATATGATGAACAACAATAAGTAAAACTGTTACTTTCTCTTATATCAAAGGATAAATTTATATGCTAAAATTAAATTTTTATTAGTATAAATGTTTTAGTGAAATAATATATTAATTATTTTACAAGCTACCCCTAACATGCTCATATTTAATGTTTTAAAAGTTGTAGAAAAAAACTTATAATAACTCTATTGTTTTTTAGACTTAAACGTTGATTAAAAGAGGTAAAAATTTCTAATTTTTTAGACTTAAACGTTGATTAACACCATAGATTGAGAGTCTATATTTAGTAAAATTCCTAATTGTAATAAAAAAATTAATTTTTGCTATATTTTAGAATATCTTTAAATTTATTATAAATAAAAAAGGAAAAAAACTACAATTACATTCACAATTTGGCTACAAGGAAAGGAACTCATTGATTAAATATTATTTTGTCAGTAGTCTTAATGTACAAGAGACTTTAAGACTCCACTTGAATATTATAAAACTTTTATTGAACATTGTACAATTTTCTTGCGTATTATAAACTTTTATTAAATAGTGCATCTTATAATATAATATTCTCCAAATAAATATATCACGTGTTTCGCACGGGTCACGTACTATATATATCCCGTACATTTTTCTTTATTCATGTATATAATTATAAACCTGAATAAATAGCCTTAAAATTATGAACTCTGTGCATCGCACGGGCTCTGTACTAGTATATATATAAAGAGCACAAGTTTTTGTATATTTCGTATAGTCAAAAAGATACTATGCATTCTCTTTTAGTGGGGAAATGGGAAGTAAATCTTTGTTTTACGATAGCATTCTTTTCTAAATCTAGTGTGATTTTTTTTTGTGTCTATATTAATATAATATCCCTGTTTTACATTAATAAAATTTGAGTAATTTTAATAGATCATTATTATTATATCCTAATAGTTATTAAAATTTTAGTTAGGTAGATATTACCATTTTTTATTCAAATAAATATGGGGATATTCTCATACAGAAGAATGATCCTACGAAATCATCTCCAAAAATAAATTTAAGCACCTAGCTACGCATACAAATATGCGTTTTCTCCCATCGATTATTCAGCACGGCAAAAAAAAAAAAATTGAGCAATTTCCCAAAATCCGCAGAACGCCGCCGAGCCTGCCTTCGCGTGTGGTGTGTGTGTTTTTTGTTTAAGTCGGTGAGTAAGCGTCTTTTATTCTTTTCTGTCTCCCAATTTCAGAGAACAGATTGGAGAGAGTTGTATATTGTTAATTCTTCCAAGAGATTATGCCCAAACTACTTATTTGTTCTCCTTAATTTACTTTTCCTGTTTTTGCAGTAGATAATGAATTATAAATATTATAAGAGAAAGGGGAAAAAGATATACAGGAGAATGAAGAAAACGTTGGGAAATTTGTTTGAGAGGTTGGTACCGACCACATCAGTTCCCCCCATAAACAAAAGCAGCCTTAGAAAAGGAGGAAGAAGAAGAGGAGAACGAGAAGGACTCACAAAGAATAACGAAGCTTTTGCGGTCATTAATTATCTCTCTTACACATATTTATTTTGTTTCTTCTGGTTTAATTTTGGTTTTTTCTTTTTTGTTTTTTTGCTGTATTGCAGAATTTTGCAATAAAAGTGAACCATAACAAATCCGGATGGCAAAACAAAGTAATATCAGTAATGCAGAGTTGCCCAGGTACCTTGTTACATTGTTTTCAAGATTGTTTGTTAATCATATTATTAGTAGTGTTGTAATAGGTTTAATTGTTTTGTCCGTAAAATAAAAAATAAAACAGGAGCACAATTCAACATGGACGAAAAGGGAATTCTTGAGGTGTCTGGAATATGCGATCCATATCAAGTGTTGAGGAAGACTGGACCACAATCGAGCCGAATAGAACTTAGGCGGTTTCAGTTTGGGCAATGCTCCAGCAAGCTCTTCTTCATTCCAGAGAATAATAATAATAATAATAATAAAAAGGAAAAAAAGAAAAAGGAATCCTTAGCAGATAAAAAGGAGGAATTATTTCCTCACCATAACAAACAAGATGATGAAGGCACAATTGTTCCTGCACTGCCTTTACTTCAACAACAGGTCAGCCCCTACAATAATTACTACAAAATCCCATTCCCATCCCGTTTTAATTATTATCCTACCAATAGGTATTATTATGATTACAGTTATAATAATCTCCCTTTGATGTACAATCCCAATCCCAATGGATTAGGTGGTGGTGATTATCCATATCAACAATTCACCAATCCTTATTTTGGGACAACACACACTACTCATTAGGATCTGTTTTATGAATCCTGGGAATGGAAGTGGTTGTGTTTTACTATCTATTTCCTGCTTTTCTTTTTCATTGTCAGATACACAATTAGTCTTGAATTTCATTGGTGTTTTGGGTGTGACATGACAACATATAAGCATCTATAATCAACATATATTGAGCTGACCCAACTACAAGGAAAATATCAAGGTAAGCCTACATAATTCAGATTCGAATTCCAACACACATTAATTTTTCAGATCAAACATAACAACAAGTAATAACAAGATTTAAACTGAAATTCTAACTTAGAATATATGCTTCGGAGTTCCACCAAATGTTCACATATGCAAAGAGATCAAACTAAAAAAACATCTGGACCAACTCTAAAGAAACACAACACCAAATGCCACAAGAAAACACGCAAAGGTTAGAAAAAATGTAAACTAAGATAGGCTCCATGAACAGAATCATCCAAAATTTTTACATGGATACTGACATCGGATCATGGAACTGCAGACTACAAAACAAAAGGCTAAATTAAAACACTAAAGGTATCTTATATTGGGCACAGAAACAAGAGAGAGGGAGAGAGTCGGTCAAAACTCGGCTCCTCTGTAATTTGTAAACTCTTACTGCAACAAGCACGAAAATAATGGAGTAATAACGTACTGCTTACGCATATATGGGGCCGAAGATGTTTCAATATTACATATTTACTAGATTGCCCTTGACCATTTACAGCTATTTGGGAACACACACGTCGATATCATCAGTGCTTAGAGTATTGGATTACTACTGTTTTATCCAAAATCTTGAAGACTTTGATTTGTTCATGATGAGTTTTTGAGTGTTTGGCTACTTCTTTGTGTTTTTCCAAGCATTATTATTTTGTTTTGCGTGTTTTATGTTCATATAGAAACCAATCTTGCTTTAGGCGTGCCTGCACCTTCTGTAGATTCGTTGCTGTTTTTTTTCCTTATTCTTTCTTATTTTGCATAACTCTCTTCTCTAATATAGGTGTATATACATATGATGGTAGTTCTTGTACATTATATGTTTTTCTCCACCTCGCATTTTTTTAGCAATTCAATTTTCACTTGGTTTTTTAGGTTGAAATGGTCTTGTAGTTATTCGAGCTAACTTAGGGGCGATTGGATATACATTCAATAGTAAAAAAATCAATCAAAACTCAAATTTAACTCAACTTTAACCCAACCACATTATCTCCAATATTATCAATATAATTAAATAATATCAACCAATCTTTCTTACACATCACATCAACTTTAATTCACTATTCATTCACTCATATAATTTTAACTAACCATCACTACCAATCATTTTTCTCCTAATTTTGATCAAATCAATTTTAATTATTTTATTTAAATATTATTTAATATATTCATTAACAATTAAGCATACCATCTTTTTCTAAAATTAACTATAATTAAAAAAAATCAAATAAAAACTAGTTGAATCCATAAACTACTCAATTGCTATTCACCGCCCCCCTTTTACTAGTCACCGCCCCTCCCCCCATTTACTCTTTTGCCCTTAACCTTTTTTTGGATTTCATCTCTCTAAACTTTCNATAATAATAATAAGTTGAATAAATTGTAATTAATTATAAATTCTAAAAATAATATTAATAATATTAATAATTATAAATTATAAATGCTTATAATAATAATATTATAAGAAATAATAATAATAATTTGTAATGATAATTATAATTAAATATAATAATAATTATAAATTAGTATTAATTATGATAATTTAAATAAAAAATTATAATAACTATTATAAATCTCAACAATTATAATTACAATAATAATGAATAAAATTTATATATTAAAATAAAAATGAATTATAATCTATTTTAATAGTTATTAGAATAGTCATTACATATGAAAAAATTTAATAATTATATTTCTGATTCAGGGTGTTGGCAGACCTGGACAATCTAATGCCAGGGACGACAACGAGGCGTTCGATGACTATTATGATGGTTCTTGTTGTGATCATATTTGTTACGTTTTTCTGTACTATTTTGTCGTTCATTTTCCCCCGTTTTAGGTCTATGTGTTAGTTTTTAGTTCATTTTATAGTTTATTGTTGTTTTGTTCTATTTTGGCTTTCTATGTGTTTTTCGTGTATTTTGTCGTTTTTCTACGTTTTTCTTCTTGTTTTTAGTGTGCAGGTCGGAAGATCCATGAGGAATCAATTTAGGTCGAAAACGGGTCGGAAAATCATGGTTTGATAGATGGATTTCTTAGCTACACATACGAAAAAGCGGAATCCAATTTCGAATTCGAACGAGTCCGGACGGGCCCAATGTGCGAATTCGTGCACGGAAGTTGTCAACTTGGAGTCAAAAGCTTTGGGTGAATAAGTTTTGAAAAAAAAGTTGGATTTGAAAACACAAAGGCGTAGAGGGCTTCGTTGGCTACATGTAGGAAAAAACGAAACTCAATTCCGAGTTCGGATGAGCCCAAACGAGCCCAAAACGTAAAGTCGCGCAAAGCAGTCCAGTTTTTTTCACCGCGGGCAGCGGAGGCAAGTCGCGGCCGCGGAGCACTTCTTCAGCTGAAAAAAGTCGCGGCCGCGGAGCAAGTCGCGGCCGCGGAGTTCCTGCTCCACACCCAGACCCACCACTCGGGTTTTCCTCCATGTTTTGAGTCATTTCCTCCATGTTTTGAGCCATTTCTTCCATGTTTTGAGCCATAAACATTTTTGCATGTTTTGTGGAAGAATATATGGATGAAAACATGGAGAAAACATCTATAAATGGGCAAGGATTTGGATTGAGAAAACACAACTCCATAGAGGGGCTCTTCCCCTCTTTTCCCTCTCATTCTCCTTCTTCTTCTTGTATTTTTCTTTTGGTCTTATGGATGAAGCTTTGTAATTGGATTCAACATTTGGATGAATTGTAAGTTATCTCTTTGAATTGATTCATGAGAATGGTTAATTTAGGAGAAATATTTTGTTGTGTTGAATTTAATATGCTTAGCTAATCCTTTAGCTAGGGATTGAGAATGAATATTTGATTTCGTATGTAATTATCGTGCTCGTTGATTGTTTACTTTGTATGAGTTAATTCTTAATTCGGTTTTTGATTTTCTCTTTGGAATGACATATTGTTGAAAAGTGACAATTCAACCTTGCAATTGATTTCTAAGAATTGAAGAGTGACACTTCAATGTTTAACTTGTTTTTAATTTGAATATGATGTGTTCTACTGTGACGATCACTATCCGAATAGACTAGACGAATGACAATTCTATAGTCTATTTTAATCGACTCTTGAACCGAAAGGAAAAAGGTCAATTGATCGAGACTCATACAAAATAGACATGTTCGGAGACGTATTGTCTATGTGTTAATTGTTTCGTTAATTCGCTCATTTATGTTTATCAGCATGTTCGGAGACGTATTGAAGTTAAACTGCTAAATGAGTTAATTAGTCGAGCCTTTTGACCGAATGATAACTAGCTGATAATTGCATTTCGATTCAAAATATTTATTCCCGATTCCCTAGCATCTTTACCTTTGTGTCGTTTATATTTTTAGATAGATTATCGTTTTATGTTATTATTTTAGTTAATCATTTTCCAACCCTATCATGATTAGAATGTGTAGGATTTATTTTGATTTTATGTGTTATCGATACCACTTCTAAATTCCGAACCGCCTTCCTCGAGAGATCGACCCGGGAAATGAATCATTCGATTCGGTGCTCGGTAAAATAAAAATAATTTGCTACAACAGTTCTGGCCCCTGACACACTAGAAGTCGGGGTGTCAATGCGTCCGTTCGTCAGGAGAGGGACATGGAAAGGCAGACGATGATCGATGAGGCTCAAAGGGTACAGATTCATCAGGCTAGGCAGAGTTCGAGACCCCCCGCACCAGTGCGAGATGGTCCGCAGGGATATCATTTTGAGGGCCACCCAGATAGTTCGCGACTCCACGGAGTCTTCCCGTATGGTGAGCATGGATTTTATTATCCTGGCCAGGTAGACAGTTCGATGCCCCCGGCACCAGGACCGTACGATCAGTCGCGATATGTTTTTCCCCACTACGCAGGAAAGTCGATACCTCCTCGCGCACGTGTACCATTACCCTATGGTCAGCAGGGGTATGCTGATGAGTCGTACAGCGAAAGGGAGCAGGGTTCAGAGGAGTGTGACTCGGACGACTCCTCAGATGATCAGGACCACGCACAGCCTACGGGTCCTAGCCACCCTCATCCTCCTGTACAGCTTGTTCGTCTGGTACAGCCGGTTCTACAGCATGTTCGTCCAGTACAGACTGTTCGTCCTACACAGGATGCTCCTCAACGACAGGTTGGGGGGCGTTTTGGCCCATCTGCATCCTCATCAGGTAAATAATTTACGTATTTATTGTTGTTTAACATAAATTATTTTTACTTAATCATAACAAATTATCGGTACTGTTAGAAAAGTATTATTGGCCTGCTCCTCAACTACAGTATAATTATTTTGTAATTTAGAGGAACCATACAATTAATTAGTTAGAAAATTATTATAATTATTTTTATTATTGTTATAATCAATTAGTAGTAATGTTACGTAATAAATAAGTTAAAAAATTTCATTATATTTTATTAATGTAAAATGTAACGTTTGTACATTAATTGAAAAAAAAAAAAACGGGAAACTTATAAAATATGTTTTAATAAATATATTTTATTTAATGCATCTTCCAGCAAGTCAATATATACAGATATGTTGTAATTTAATGCAGGTACTAGCAAACGAGCTAAGACCAATGATGATGCACCCTGGATCGTTAAAGACCCAGTGCCCGGTGGGCCCATTGATGGGATTGTCATCCCTAGCTTTCTAAGGCACGTCGCCTCTCGCATGTGGAGTGGAGATTTGAGGGGGCCGCTGAAATGCCACAACAAATTCAGTGATCGAGAATCTGAAGGCTTGGCGTGAAGAGATGTCTTTCGATGCGAGAGCTCTTCTCGACCAGACCGGGCTGTCGCATTTGGCCGACTCCATGCACATCAAATTGGACACCTCACTCCTTTCTGCGTTTGTGGAGCGATGGCAGCCGGATACTAACTCGTTTCACCTGCCTTTTGGTGAAATGAGCATCATGCTGCACGACGTC